GTAATTAGTTGTGTGTGTGTGTGTGTGTGTGTGTGTGTGTGTGTGTGTGTCAAGTTCTTAATTCGTTATACATAATACATATAGACTTAGATTATTAATAGTACCATACGCGAAAGCGAGCCCAAAACGGCACTGAACCTCGCAATTTCGTCGGTGACGAAACCAGGCTGACTGCCGAATGGTTGCGGCACCCTCGCGCAAATGCAGCAGACATACACATACACACACTTCGCATTCTCTCTCGCTCTTTGCGCTGCGCTTCCTCGCCTCCTGTCTTCCCTTTTATGCGCGATGTCATTTAATTATTCCTTAACCCTGCTGAGATTTTACACTCAAGACAAGCACATGCAAATATCAATTTCGTGTTTTAAATTATCCAGCGACAAATCTGTCAAGCCTCACAACGCAGATATGTATGTCTTGTCAATTAAAGTTCGGCCGATCATCCGGTGTGAAGTTATTTGTAACTCGAAATACAAAAGTTATACAATTCTGCAATGTTTTTACCGTGTGTTCAATGTTCGACTAATAATAATTCCAGTTGGAATTGTTGAAAATAGAGAAAAATATTTCATTAAAATGTGACGCTTTCCAAAAATGATAAGACAATATTTGCAATAACTAAAGCTATTATTACTCTGCATATATTACAAATATATAATGTGTATTAAACGCCGTAATTATAGAAGTTGCAGACGGCTTATAGAGCAGATTTACTCAAACTATGTATGCACGTTTTAGTTAAATTGACTTTTAAAAATTTCAAAATATAAAACTCACAGTATTTTCGTCATATCAATAATATTGTATCTCCTTATTTTTATTTGATTGTTTACTGAAATACTAATCGGATATTCGCGTTACATTATAGATTATTTCTCGAAATGAGAGAAAAACATTTGCTCAGACTGATGAACAGAGACGAAGTAATTCATTAATCAATAAAATTTAACATTATTTTTGTATGTAGCTTATAATTAGATTGCGAAAATTCGTGAATTTCCTTGGTAAAAGATCCAAATTGTGGTTCGAGATACGTTGTTTTTTTCACATAACATTAATAATGAAAGGAAAGATTTTATTTATAATTTAAGAGACGTATAGAAAACAATTTCATGTGATTATTATTTCAGAACGGTCTTGTCATCGTTTACAAAAAAACTTCACCGTGAAACTTCATAAAGTTCCGCATTCTATTTACAGCATAAGTGCAATAAAACATCAATATTCATTATTATCGCGCACAATAACGTCAATAAAATTAGAATCAAAAATTACAATTGAAACTGAAGAGTGAACATGATAATAAGTATCAAAAACATATGTAGCAAAATATGTAGCAAAATTGCGAGGAAGTATAAAATTCTTCCAAACTTATTTTAGAAAAATTTCTCACGGTATTTGACGACACCGCAAAGTTAAGCTATTCAACTTAAAATTAAATATTTCGTGGTATAAAGCAACTTTGCGCAGTTGATAAGTTCTGCAAATAATAAGTCACTAAATTGCACATAATGTCTTGTTATAATGTAATAAAAAATATGTAACTTTCTGTTTCCATCAATCACTGCGCAGAGATTACGTAAATGTCCTGCGACAATTAAAACTATTACCTAAGCTCGACAAACGTTCATCGTCAAATACACAGACGGAGACCAAAAAAATATTGACGAATCAAGTGAAATTTGAATTATCCATGTGGTATTGATAGACTTCAAATAATTTAAAGTGCTCGTCGTATCGATGTGAGCGCGCTTTCTATATTCGTGGTTCTGGGTTCGGAGACCGCGCACTTTAAAAGAATTCTACTGGCCTCGATTGGTATGCATATAGTAGGACTAGGATTGGACGGGGATGGGGGAAAAAGTTTGGGTTGTCGACATCTAATTCCTTATAATTTCGATACGTATACGTATTAATATATGTATATATGCATACATAGTACTTTTTTAAAATTTATTTATAGACTTCGTGTTTAGAGAAGTAGGGAGATCATTAACGTGATACCTTGCCATCGTTTTATGCAATATTTTTTTTCTCTTCGATATACGATTCAATAGCGTGACATACATTAACTGCCTGTAATTGATCGAAAACGTTGATATACAATAGACTTAGCAACCAAAAACGACTTGTAACATATAGATATATATATATATAAGAGTCCCTTAATTATATGTATATATATAATTAAATATAGTGGTCTTACTATATATTCGTCACGTATCACAGAAGGAAGTGCTAATAACTATAATATAATCCTCTTGAACGCGTAATACCTAACAACTCGAAATTTCATGTTAATCGTCCAAGGCGTTGAAATACTAGCTTTCAATGCATTGGAACTTGAAAAGCACCATCTCGCCACGGTGCTGAGTCTATCCTATACCTTAGACACGGGGAGGGGAGATGGAATTAAATATATATATCGTACAAAAAAATCCGCCGAGACGTTAGCGGGGAAATCTGGAATTTCGTTTTGCCATGTGATGTGTACACATACATGTGTACGTAAATATATAAAACGTCGCGTTAGCGATCTTCCCACTTGTCCCCATTCGTAACGTTCGCTCGAGTGTCACCGGATCGCCTCGCGGAGCCTACGTACACCTACAATATCGTTCTGCATCGCGGATTCCTGACCGGCTCGATCGGAAAGATAATTTGAAAGATCGTCGCATGCGCGCGTGTCGCGTATCGTAGCGCTCATTTATAAACATCGACCGCCTCCCGACCTGTTTTTTTTTTTCCTCTTTCTTTTGACCGATAATTACCGTTAAATGAATACGAAACTACTTACGATCAACTTCGCTAGACTATACAGAGTGCTACCAAGTGTAGCGGACGGGTACGCCGGGACGCATCCGGGTCTCGGATGCGATTCTTAGTTTAACTTGTGTGTCCGATACTGGATTTCTTCGTGGGGTAGGAGGACCCGCTTAATCACGAGAATAACACATTGCTCTTCGTTCGCTGGGCGAACGCTTCTTAAAGACTAAACTCAGTCGCTCCCGTACGTACCCACCACCACCATCACCACCATCATCATCACGGCTTCATCGATTTATTTCCTAGATTCAATCCCGCCGGACTGTCTAATTGATTCACTTCCCCGGCGGAACCGCGCGACGTCTTCCTTTTTATCGAAAGATCCGAATAGTTGAACCGCTTGTACCGACAAGCATAACGCGTTGTTTCGCATTATGCAACGTGATTCTTGCGGAATCACTTAAATTATTAGATAATCGACAGTAATCAGAAACAAAAGAGATTTGATTTTATTGAAACATAAAATATAAAATATATATATATATATATATGTAGAAAATGTTACATACAACAGATTGTTCCAATTGTTTATAATAAAGTTATATTAGCAATTCGGTACGTAATGTGACGAGGTTTTTAAGGATTTCTGCCATCGTCGTACTTGGCAAATTTTATTCTGCCGACGCGTGCCAAATACGAAATATATAATCGCGAAGCCATATCGGTTCCTCCGGCGAAGGGTACTTCCCGTCGCGTTTCCGGGGCACCCGGTAAGGCGCGCCGACCGCAAGGCGCGCCATGCACGGTGCCCTACCGTCGCTACATTAATTTCTAATGCAATGTACACGAGAGAGAGAGAGAGATATATATATATATATATATATGTATATATATATTTATGTATATGTGCTAGATATTACCGCGGCTCCGGAACGGAAAAGATCGAGAGGAAAATAAAATACATCGTTGTTCACAATTGCTTGAGTAAGGATATGGATCGAAGAATCGCTCCCAAATATCGCCGAGACTTGACGACGTTACCGACGTCAGGCGTAAAACGCCGACACCGTCGACCGCCGGTGGTACGCTCGTCACCGTCGTCGTTTAACACGACAGTGTCCTTTCGCATAATCGATTGGCTCCTTTTTTCATTACCTTAAAGCCGCCATTGGGACGTCGCGGCACAGATATGATACGTTGAGGGGATCTCGTACGAAGGAGGAGTGTGGAGGGGGTGGGTGGTCCTGGAGGGTCTTTATCGTCCTCTTTGAATCTCTGCTCTTCCGCGTTGCTCGCTCCCCGTCCTATTTTCCGCTCTTCATCCCCGATCTCTATTCTACCCTGGTCAACGTAGGAGGGCTCCTCTCTTCGCGTGGCCGAACAAACGGGACACTTTGTATACATCTCGTCTTCATCGTGACGGAGCGGTACTACGCCTCAACCTGATCCTCCGGAATCATTATGTCGGGCGCCATCGATAGGTCCTCCGCTATGTCCTCGTCCTGACCGGAGTCGTGGCCATGGCTCTCCGAGTATTCTCTCTCATCCCCCTGATCCTCCTCCGTCTCCTGTTCCATGGGGCCGTCCGGCAACTCGCGCTTTATTAATCTCGTGTGCTTCCCTCCTTCCGGACTCTGGCTCTCCTGCTTTATGTGCACGGCCGGTTCATCCAGCGGCGACCTGTTGAATCAACGACACGCACGAACGTGTTGTGTACGCTTATGAGTGGAAAACTTGCGAAAGCGCCGTACGCGCCCGCCGGTGTTGAGATATATATTTCATAGAACGCGACAGACACACAGCGGTATATTTTTTTTAGCAACACGAGCCGCGCGCCAACGGGAGAATAATTTCACTTTCCCGGTGTTGTTTCATTGCCGCGGTTTCATGCTGCGGTTTGTCAAGCTGCAACGGAGTTTGCGTTTGCGTTTCATAAAAAAGTCACAAGAATAGAAATTGGTGGTATTTTCACGCGATGCCTTCCGCATCGTACGCGATGCTGCTCAGAATGAATCGTATTATAAACACGTTCGTGAATAAAACAAAATTCGCGATGTCGAATAAATGAAAGGTTCTAGGGACCTTGTTTTTCGGTAATATTATTGTAAATTGAAACAACATCCCAAAAATATAAGGATGCAGATGCGAAGTTATGACGACAAAGAGTTATCACGAAAATTTTAACAACGCTTTAGTGAATATTTAATATAAAGTATCGTAAACATTCAAAAATGAGTGAATTGTAATCATATAAACGTGACTTACATTAAGTCATTATGAGGTAACACATGTTCCTTATCGGGACTTGTCGCTGTCGACGTGCACATTGGATTCAAAAATCCCATATTAGATTCCCCGAGTGCCTGGAAATACTCAAATTGCATTAGACGGTTAATTATTACCGAATTTAATGCCAAAATACTAATCTCACTTAGATACTACGTGTATTAATTCAAGAATAAATAATTGGTATCGCTTATCAATTATATAATAATAAAATATAATATTTGTTTCTATTTTATGAGCCATTTTTATTTTTTTCATACAGAAGCTCATGAATTATCAATCTTCTTCGTTAAGGTGTTGAACCACCTTAATGCGTACGGAATCACTTGACTAAAGAAAATAACGAACAGTAAGAGCTCGTAAGAATTTTTGTATTCTAAAGTTAATTATTGATAGTTACCTGCAGGTTGGCATTGAGAGCATCCCCGTACATAGTAGGGCTATGCGTCAGCGTTGGACTCTTCGATGGTACACCCCTAGATATTGACAGAGAAAAGTATGTTAATAATATTCGAAATTCGGCCGTGAGCGTATATATTTCCTGAAATCAATCGCGTGTATGAGGTTTTTTTTAATCGTGTCAATGTCGGGACGGATTTGAGAGAAAAGGGGGAGTAGAAGTAAAATGTATAATGTGACCACGTGTTTGTGCGTGTGTACTGGAGTCGTAGATATGTAGACGTATCAAAGACAAAAAGGAAAAAGATAGAGAAAGCGAGAGAAGAGAAAGAGAAAGAGGTGTAAAAGTGAAAGAGAAGAGAGAGAAAAAGAGACAAAGAGTATTATATAAATATGAAAAATGTATACATATAAATATATATATTAAAAAGAGATTTAAAAAGAGCGAAAAAAAGTATCCGTAAATTCTTACCTACTTACAGAATCTTATATATCGTTTTTTGTCCACCGCACTCGTCTCATGGATGATTGAGCGAGATTAGATTAAAATTACAGAAAGAATATTTAAAGAAAGCGCTCCTGTTTCGAAACTTCATTAATAAAGCAGTATCAATTTGAGAACTCTCTTAACTATTTCAATAGATTTACTTTAGTTTACTTTAGTTTCGAAACAAACGTACTTATAAACGGCCACCAGGTTACCTGAGCTTACCATTCACTTTTGTTACGCATATCATTTAAGTAAATACTTAACCCAGTTGTATATTGCATAACAATCAACCAAACATCCTTTTCTTTCCGATGATTTGCAAAGAGAACACTTTCCACAGTGTTTCTTGCAATTACCGTCAAATAATGTATTCAATCTTAACGTATGTTATCGGAAACCTTAAGTCGAGAGACTTAAAAAAGCATGCGAAGAAGAAGATAAGAAAAAAGATTTCCTGAAACCGTTTATCAAGTAACAAGGAGCGCTGAGTAAAGAGAAAAATAGAAAAGGGATAGTATAAAGATAGAAATAGAAAAGATGAAAGTTGATAGAGAAAGAGAGAGAAGAGAGAGAGAGAGAGAGAGAGAGAGAGAGAGAGAAGAGAGAGAGA